CCCCCCCCCCCCCCCCCCCCCCCCCCCCCCCCCGTCGCTCCCTCCAATGGCATGATCCAATATTTAGACAATGCTTGCCACTAGCCCTTTCCAGAACTGGCCACGAAATCCCTGGAGCCGGGAAGGCCCATGAGGCTGCCCTTGTCCGTTAGCCCTGCCCAGGGCCTGACACCGCGCTGGGAACTAACCACCCCTCTCTCTGACACCCCCACCCCACCCCGCACCCGCCCTGTGCCCCGCAGGTCTGAGTAACATCATTGGCATCATAGTGTATATATCTGCCAATGCTGGAGACCCCTCCAAGAGCGACTCCAAAAAGAATAGTTACTCGTACGGCTGGTCCTTCTACTTCGGGGCCCTGTCCTTCATCATCGCCGAGATGGTCGGGGTGCTGGCCGTGCACATGTTTATCGACCGGCACAAACAGCTGCGGGCCGCGGCCCGCGCCACGGACTACCTCCAGGCCTCCGCCATCACCCGCATCCCCAGCTACCGTTACCGCTACCAGCGCCGCAGCCGCTCCAGCTCCCGCTCCACCGAGCCCTCGCACTCCAGGGACGCCTCCCCCGTGGGCATCAAGGGCTTCAACACCCTGCCGTCCACGGAGATCTCCATGTACACCCTCAGCGGGGACCCCCTGAAGGCCGCCACCACGCCCACCGCCACCTACAACTCCGACAGGGATAACAGCTTCCTCCAAGTCCACAACTGTATCCAGAAGGAGAACAAAGACTCTCTCCACTCCAACACAGCGAACCGCCGGACCACCCCCGTATGAAGCCCGCGGGGGGGCCTGGCGGCGCCGCAGGAGGAGCGCACAGCGCCCCCCCCCCGCTCGCGTGGGCCCCCCCCCCGAGGTGGGGGGGGAGAAGGGGGCGGGAACCCAACCATCCACTGGGGGGGAAAACCTTCCAAAAGCAAAAAAACAAAACAAAAAACAAAAAAAGAGAAAAACATAACAAGTAAATTTTAAAAAAAAAGAACAAAATATAAGAGGAACAAAGAAGCAAAACGACAGGAAATGTGACAAAAAAAATATTAACCGAGGGAAAGAAAAACAAACTTAAAAAAAAAGCGAGCGAGGTTAAAAAATTAAAAATAGACAATAAATCTAAAAGAAAATGCATGATTTCCCATGTACCATTATTTTAACATTTAATAAAAACCAATCTAAATGAAAAAATAAAAGGGAACCAAGATAACATTAAAGCAAAAAATGAGCAGAAAGGAAGGGGGAATGTTCTCTGCATTTATCAGGGGTTTATGTTCCTTTTTGTTTTAATGCGGGCGAGTTACTTTTCTGTTCTTTTTAACCCCAAGCGGGCTCTGCCTCCCTGGGCGAGTTGGGGGGTGGAGACTCAGGGGCCCCAGGGCCAGGTAAGCCCCTCGGTCACTGCCAGGTCCCTGGAGCCTCTGGATGGGTGCCCGAGGAACGCTGGGCAAGCTCCGAGGCTTGAGAGCCGGCTCCACCCGGCACTGATGGGGCAATTGTAGGCCTCCAGGTGACCCTAGAGTCCTTGGTCCCTCCTGTCCGAAAGGTGCCTGGAGGGGGGTGCACTTGGGGCTTGCCCAGCCCCCAAGTTCCCAGTCCTTAATGGTCCTTAACCCACTGTGATGACTTCCTAGGCCTTGAGGGAGGGGAAGGAGAGGGGATGGCTGCCGTTGGCTTGCGAGATGCCCAAAACCCTGGAATCCTCAGGGTGAGCTTCTTGGGGTCACCACCCCAAGCTCCTGCCCTCTGGAGCAGGAGATGCTCACCCCCCGGGGGGATATAAAGCAGCTCTCCCTCCTCACCTCTCACCTCAGGGCCACCTGATGACCCTGGGGCGATGGTGGACCCCCAGACTCATAGGCCCCCCCCAGCCCCCTGGGAAGGGGGCTTATTGACCCTTTGGGGGTCCTTGGACTCACTGAAGCCCCCCTGGGGCCCAGCGGGTCCAACAACGACACTGCAAAAAGGTTTCTTTTTACAAAAGAAAAAGGAAAAACAAGTGGTGATTTTTTTTAATAAAAAAACCACAGATTATAAATAAATGTAAATATATAATAAGTGGATTTACTTGCAAGAAAATCAGATAGTATTTTTCTTTTAATTCTTTTCCAGCTTTAAACTGTGAAAACAAAACAATGGGGTGGGGTGGGGGACTTAAAATTTAGCAGGGAACTTGTAAAGAGAAAACAGAAAACAAATATACGAATCCATTAAAAAAAAAAAAAAAAACCTGCTGGGAGAGATCAGGGCTGGACTCAAGGGGGAGGCAGAGGAGGAGGGCCCGGGGGAGCGGCCGGGAGATTGTACGACAGAGATCTCTTCCTTATACCGGGAAGGTGCTGCTAATGCAGATGAGAGAGAGACTCACGACAGAGAACCAGGTGTACACGAAGGAGATCGCAAACACACTCACATGCACACAGACACAGTCCTCCAGGCCCCACGCTCCAATCCACTGGGATACACACTCGGTCTAAACCCTTCCCTCCCCATACACAGTGAACACTGACTCCTGCCCTCCAAAGCCATTGACAACACCACCACACCACGCGCGCGCGCGCGCACACACACACACACACACACACACACACACACACACATACACACCACTAGCATGCATGGAAAGGACCCCAGTCTAAAATCCGGCTCTGGATTCTGGAATCCCTTGCAGCGGTTGCCTCTCTGGGCCTCAGTTTCCCCCATACATAAGCATATGGATTGACCTAGATGAGCTCCAAAGGCCTATTCTTATTCTTGGTGTTGATGACTTTTAAGATCTGCCACCTGCCCAGAGGAAGATGCCAGGGATGACCGAAATAGCAGCCATCCAGCCCCCAGACATTGAGAACATTCCCAAATCATCAGTCAGCCTCTCAGCCACACACACACACACACACACACACCCCATATGCCTCCTCACTGTGCTCCCAAACCCCTGCCCCCACATCCAATGTCAGAGCAAAAATACATACATGTGAACAAATGTATCCTGCCATTCAGAGAGAGGGAAAGGCACCAGAGGTCCCCAGTGTCACTCTTCATTTCGTGCCCCCTTTCTTTAGTGCCATAACCCAGTCACAGAGAGTGAAGGGGGCTTCTGAGAGAAGAGATCAGCGGCCAGGCCTTCCCCGCTATCTCTGGGGGTCAGAGAAAAAGAAGATCCTCTGGGGTTGGCTGGGAGGGGTTCAGGCCAAGGAGTTGGAGGAGATGGCTTTACAAAGTTTGGTCACAGGTTGAGGACCAGCTCCCAAAATAAAGCTGATGCCACGGACTAAACTCTGGGGCATCCCATGTTGCTCCCCACTCTCCCCAGAGGGGAGAAGGCCCAGTTCAGACAGAGAGAAATCCAACAGCTTTCTCGAGTGCGAAGTTCAGCCCAGCCTGCTGGCCACCCTGCTGAAGGTGGGCGCCCCTGCCAGGCCCATCAGCAGGTTTTGCTTTGCCTCTTTCTTGACCCCAGCCTGGCCTGAAGTTCCAAAAGCTGAGCTCTGGAGAGTTGTGGCGAGTGGCTCTTGAGGCTTTGGGGGTGCTTGCACACTCCCAGCCACCCTTCCCGTGTTTTGTCCGGGAAAGGAGAGCTCTGTTTTCAAGTCAACTGCAGCGGGAACCCTAAACTCAGCCTGAGCCACAAGGCAGAACATCTGCCCGCCCAGCCCCCAGTGCACAGAAGGCCACAGGCCCCAGACAGAGGGACAGAGCGCTTGGTGGCCAAGGCCAGTGCAATGGCGACCCAGCACTTCTCGGTCTGGGCAGAAATCACAGTCTCTCCCTCCCTCGCCCCACCAGCTTCCAAACCCAAACCCAAAAAGATGAAGGACTAGAGAGATGGAGAGGCCCCAAGAACAGAGCAAACAAGCAGGTGCTGGTCGAAGAACAAAATTGGCCCCAGTTGTGGTAGAGTGTTTGAGATGGCAACCAGTGCCTCTTTCCAGGCTCAGGCCTGGGTCCCGGGGCTGCCTGAAGAAGGCCATCTCGGGGTGGGGCAAAACCAGCACTGCTGAGAAAGGGCTAGGGGACCCGGAGGGAAGGAGCGGGGAGCGGGACTGCAAAGGGCGCTGCTCGCCAGGGTGGACGGTTGCTCATGTCCAGCTCAAACCAGTTCAAGAAACCAACCTCCGTTTTATTTTCTTGGTGGGTCCTTTTTTTTTTTTCAGACTGTTAACAGAAAAAAAATTTTAAAAAGCAGAAAACTTAAAAAAGAAAAAAAAAAAGAAAAAAAATCCTGGTACATGAAATAAAGATTTTTTTTTATAGCTTGGTCCTCATGTCAGTGGGTTTCTTTCATTGCTTTCCCCATCCGGGCACCCCCACTTAACACAATCCTAAAGCCGCAGACTCCCAGAGCTGGGAGATGGGAGGCTTAGAAGCCATGCAGGAGAGTGTCCCCACTCCCCAGGTCGTGAGTCTCCTCTTAAATATCCCGTAGGGATACTTGCACACACCTCCAGGGACAGGGAGCTCACCCCCTCCATAAGCAGTGTTTATTGGTCAGAGTCTCCTCCACAAGATGAATTTTAATCCATGTCCTCCTTTGAATCCAGCAACACTGAATTGAACGCCTTCCCTTTCCAACACATGTCCTTGAGTTTCCTGTTTTAGAATAAACCAGCTCCACTCAACATCCCTGTGACTCTCCAAGGTTTCAGTTTTTCCCATGCAAGTGTGCAGCCTGGAATGAGAGTGACCCTGCAGGTGTACTCAGAGGGCTCCCTGCACAGAGCTGCTCCTCGGAGGGGACTGTGGATTGGGAGACAAATGGTGAGGGGCTAGCGGGGAGCCCTGGGACTCTCCGAACTTGGAGAGCTAGGAAAGGCAAAATGGGACATGTCCTAGTCGGCTCAGGCTGCTATAACAACAAACATGCCCTATTCTGGGGGGCTGAAACGACAGACATTTACTTCTCACAGTTCTGGAAGCCGGGTGGCCCAAGATCAAGGTGTCGGCAGGTTGGGTTTCTGGTAAGAACTCTCTTCCTGGCTTGCAGATGGCCACTTTCTCTCGTGTGCTCACGGGGCACCAATTTCTGGGCTCTCTTCCTCTTCGCATAAGGTCACCACTCCCTTCGTGGAAGCCCCGCCCTCCTGACCTCATCTACCGCATTATCTCCCAAAGACCCCCACCTCCAAATATCCTCATACTGGAGGCGAGGGCTTCAATATATGTATTTTGGGGGGCCGCAAACCCTCAGCCCACCACAGGATGCCAACAGGAGAACTTGACCCTTGACATTGGCGAAAGGCCCTGTTTGCAGGCCGCTCAAGAGCCAGCCCGCCGAAGTGCGGCCCGGGCCTGGTCAAACTGCCAGCATCAGGGATTTGAAAGAGAGCCGTAAACACCTCTCAAAATCCATTAAGTACATTTAATTCAGTTCCTTTTAACTTGTAAAAAAAACCGTCACACCGAAGAGGAGAGGAAAGAAGGTATTTCAAAACCAAATCAAGATTGAAAAGGCAAACAAAAAAGAACTCCTCTGTTGGCAAATTGTAAAATGCTTCCTTCCTCCTTCTTCTGTTGCTTCTCTGGGCCCACCTTCCCATCACCACCTTCCTGAATTTATTATCCTTAACTAGGAAGGTCAGGTGCACTCGCAATGGAACGAAAGCATGACAAACAGGAAAATGGAAAGCTAACCAAAGCTTGTTTAAAAATGAAAACACGTTGTTCTGAAAAGAGAAAAGAGCTTCATTCTGTCCTACTGACATCCATGATCACAGACAAAAAAAAGCACGGAGGTCTCGTCCATGTCAATAGCTGGGCTTCACTGGCCTGGTTATTTTCATATTTTC